TCCTGACCTTTCAAGGAGCAAAGGAAACCAATTCCTCCCACCTACTGGTCCTATTGCTACTGTCCAGCAACTATGTCCTATGGTAAGCAAGTGAGTGTGTGCCAGATACTCACACACATGCACATCCACACACAGACAGACAGCACACAAGGTAGCTTGTAAATAGCCAGTGACTTATGATGCCACGAATTCTCATTACGCTGAGTGCCCAGAGGTATAGGATGTGGCAGAGATAAGAGAGTCACCCAGGTATCCTCAATACAGAGCTCAGAGTGTTGGTTGGAGGAATGAGGAGTACATATATGCAAAATGCACAGACACTGGGACCGCACAGCTAAGTGCATTCGAGACTCACATTCACACTCCAGGCTTCTCTGGCTATTAAAGCGTCCAAAGGGGAGCGGAGCGCCGTCCCCAGTGAAAAGAGCTCTGGAAAGCCACAAAGTGGGTGGAGCCTCCTCCCCTCAAGTTCAGCCCAGATGGTGAAGCTCAGTAGCTGCTTCCCTCATCCTAGAGGGCCCCAGTCCTTCCCACCACTAAATGGTTAAGCCCTTAGCTTGCACATAAATGACCTTCACTAAACAGAGGTCGTTTCCTTGCAGCTTCCTCAGCACCAGCCTCTCGAAGAGGCCTCGGATTCCCCGATGATGCCGCATTCCTCATCAGTCTCCAGGGTTGAGTGGAGTGAGGTGCTCACCGGCGGGGGCGGGGGAGGGGGCGGAAACACCCCAGCCTGAGCAGACTGTGGACTGGGGTGGTTGTGGGGTGTGCTGCTTGTATCTTGATAGCAGAAGCATGAATCTGGGGAGCCCATCGTTGGTGCAAAATCTACCATTGCCCGCATCTAGGCGCCCACATGGTTTCCCAGCCTCATAAGTGGTGCGAGAAGGGTGGGACAGTGTCTCCGGGTTGACTCTCTTCTCAAGCAGCTTCTGGAGTCGAGCTCTACTCCCTTCCTCTTCTGCGTGTACGTGTGTGTGTGTGTGTGTGTGTGTGTGTGTGTGTGTGTGTATGATGAGGGCGGGAGGAAAAGGGGAGGGATCGAGCCATAAGACACCAGGAGCCGCAGACAGCGGAAGAGGCCAAGGTCTGGAGACAGAGGAGCATCTCGAGGTCAGGACATCAGGCTATGAGCCCCCTGCAAGTCCTGGGAGCGAGGCTCCCAAGGCTAGATAAGGAGCTGCAAGTGTCGCCGCTTCCCCGCGGACTGCCCCTCCCTAGGACACGCCCACACCTCCTACTTCTCAGGATGCAAAGGGATAAGGTTTAAGGCGCTCTGGTCCACCAACGCCAGCTCGCCTCCGGCTAGCACTCAGGGCTGCCCCGCCCCCATGGTTTGGAGATCTGCGGGACCCCTCCGTTTCCCCCACCGGTTGGGTGTTCCGCCCCTGGCCTATGAAACTCCACCTCCTCATCCTCTTCTGGCGGGGATTGGTGGGTCTCCTGCGGCGATGCCTAGTGATTGGTCCCCATGGATGATGATGACCGGCGAGACCCCGCCCCCAGCCGGCGCTGGGGTCTGGGGGCTCTGCTCAGTGGTGCTAGGCTGGCGCGGCTGCAGCCGCCGCGGCACTGACAGCTCCGTCTGCGGACCATGGAGACTGGAGCCGGTCCACACCCGCTACGCCTGATCGTCTGCTTGATGCCGCTCTGCCTCGCTCTGCTTCTGGGACCCGGGCGGCCCGGGACCGCCGAGGAAGGTAAGGTGTGTTGTGCCTAGGAGCCTGAGATGCCAAAAGACACGTAGTTGTGGGGCTGGGGGACCTGGGGGAAGAAGTCAAGGGAGATAGCAGAGTCTGTGCTAGGGTTTGAAGCAAGCGAGCAACGGGCGGGAAAGAACTAGAGAGAGGGGGGAGGCTGGTTAAACGATGGAGAAGAGATGGGTATTGAGGACCTAGGATTGGGGAAGAAAGAGGCAAGAGATTACAGGAGCCGGAGGCAGCGGTTCAGGGCCGGTGAGACGGACAGGCTGAGGGATTGGAGGTGGGAGGTATGGGGGCAGGGAGATGACGGGAGCAGAGAAGCTGAAGAGATGCGGCGAGATTCAAGCATGAGACAGGATGGAGCCGAATAGCGAGGGCACAGGGGACCAACGTATCCCAGCAGGAGGTGGGATGCTGGTAGCTAGGGCTGGGCCGGGCACTGCCCGAAGTGCTGACCACGGAACTATCCGCAGTGCTGAATAGGGATTGAGTCTACCACGCGCGGTACGCGTTGCGGAGGATTTGGGGTTGTCAGCGACACCAGAGCCTGAATCTTGCCTCTGATTCCATATCTCGGGAAGCTGTACACTCAATTAAATCCAGAGGTGCACAACCAGGTGTAGAATCCTGAGATACTGGAACCGGGGGCTGCCCACAGGGCCGGTCCTGCCCCGGATGGCCGATGCCTGCCGGTATGTAATTCCGAAGCGCTGTCGGTGATGAAAACCCAGCACACTGTCCCTGCCCTGCCCACTATCGTCTACACCTCTGGGGGCAGCCCCTCTTAAAGACCCTTACCTTGGAGGCCCACCCCTTCCTTAATGTTCTAGAGGAGGTTTCTGAGATTTGGGAAAGGCCTGCCTAGCTAGCTTCTGGCTCTGCTATGCAGACCTGGGCTTCTCTGTGCCCAACGCTGAGAGGACACAGAGTGCTGATCTGACACCTCCTGGGAGAGTAAAGTGACTCCAAGCTTCTCTGGTGGTGGGGGTGGGATCATGGATTATGTGAGGAAGGGCCTGTGACAGTCTATCAAGGCAGTAGAGGTGCCAGCCCCTAGGAAAAGGGCTGGCTGGGGCGGCAGGCAAATGATTTCGACGTTTCCTGTTCCTAGTAGTCCCTCCACTTCATTGTCACCAGAGGCCTTGGGAGGCAAATAAAAAAGGCTTCAGTCACCCCCATGCTTGGAGAACAGACCTCAGAATCTGAGTTAATTTGGGGTGTGCACAAGAATTCCACGATTTGCTCATTTTCTCCCTCTAATTGGCAGTTAAATATCATTTAGGAAACCTGGGAAGGGTGGAGAGGATCACTGACTTCCTATTCCAAATTTGAGAACTAGTTTCGGAATCTTTTACATGAACTCTGTGGAAGACTGATAAGGATCCTCCAAGAAAAAGAAAGCTATGTGCTATGTGCTCCAGGTTCAACATTACCTCAAGTAATGAGAAGGACTGCCAATGAGACTGTGGATTTTGAAGTAGAGAGATGATTCTGGATTGTTTGATGGTTCTGTCACAATCACAATGGCCATAATATGAGGGAGACAGGAGAAGTTGGACCAGAAGAGACAGCAGTGTGGTTATAAAAGCAGAAGTTGAAGTCAAGCATTTAAGATGGAGGAGAGACCATGAGCTGAAGGATACAGGGAAGAAGTAGAAGCTCAGAAAGATGAGAGAATAGATTCTGCCCTCAGAACCTACAGAGGAAATAACTTGCTGACACCCTGACTTTAGACTAGTGAAACTGTTATTAAGCAGCTGGTCTCCAGAACTAAAACTAAAACAGAAAAGAAAGAAAGAAAGGAAGGAAGGAAGGAAGGAAGGAAGAAAGAAAGAAAGAGGAAATCTAACCAGGCATAGTCATGCAAACGTGTAATCCTAGCACTCAGGAGGTAGAGGCAGGAAGATAAAGTTTGAGGCCAGCCTGGGTTACCTGCAAGTTCCAAGCAGCCGCAGCCTCAGCTACATAGTGAGACCATCTGAAAAAAACAAAAACAAAAACAAAACACCTTTTGCTTGAAGCCACTAAATTTGTGGTCTTTGGTTACAGGAGCCTCAAGGAATGAACAGAGGCTCCCTCCTTAGCCACCATGGCTGCTTCTCTCAGTACTTGAGTTACTCAGACTTTTTGGGGTTTTGTGAATTGGAAAACATTTGCCATACTGTCTTTCCCCTCCTGTAGCAATTTGTGGTGATTTCAGTAATGGATCCCACCCCCCACCCCCTACATAGTGTGGCTTTCTGATGTCTGTGTTCTCCTCTCTCCTTAGTCATTCTCCTGGATTCCAAAGCCTCCCAGGCAGAGCTGGGCTGGACTGCACTGCCAAGTAATGGGGTAGGTGTTACACTGTCCCTCTCTGTCCTAAGGATCCTCTAGTAGATCAAGACTTAGTCTCTTTAGCTCTCCATGTTCACCTCAGATCAAAATATACCACGGAGACCGCCCACCCAAACTCATGCAGGCAACCCTAATTAAATACAATGGGCCACACATGCAGAGGGAGACTTTCTAGGAAGAAGGGGTTGGTGGGAGGGGGGAAGGGGATAAGAGAGGATAGTGAAGGGATATGATCAAAGTACATTATATATATATTATGAAATTGTGAACAAATTTTTAAATTGCATTTATTTATTTAGTGTGTCTCTCTGTAGCCCCAACTGGCCTGAAACTCATGATGTAGACCAGGCTGGCCTCAATCTCACAGAGATCCACCTGCCTCTGCCTCCCAAATACTGGGATTAAAGGCATGTGCCACCACACCCATCTGAAAGAATTTTTTTTTTTTTGGTCTTTTTGAGACAGGGTCTCCCTGTAGCTCCAGCTGTCCTAGAACTCACTATGTACACCAGGCTGGCCTTGAACTCATAGAGATCCGCCTGCCTCTGCCTCCCAAGTGCTGGGATTAAAGGCGTGCACCACCATGCCCAGCTGAAAGAATTTTTTAATGCATTACAGAGTGCGTGCTCTCCAGCAACCCTGGTGAAAGCCAGAGTGACCCACTAGTCTTCAGTTAGTTAGTTAAACAAATAAATGAGAGAAATGACTGTGTCTTAAGAACAGAAATGTGAGCTGGATGGAGTGAATGATGGACAAGCACCTTGCACAAAGTAGACCTCCAAGAGGTATTTCCCATAACTGACAGGGTAAACAAGGAAGGGGTAGGGTGGGGTGTGGAAAGAGCACTGGGCAGAGAGCCAGTGGCTCCAGATCCCATTACTAGCAGTCATTAACTCACTGTGCACAACCAGTCAAGCGCTTCTCTGTAAACCTGTTTCTTCATCTGCAAAAATAAAGAGTATACTTGTTTTACAGTACATATGCTAAGACTGGAATGACACAGGAAAGATTTGTGTGGCTCCTGCCCAAGGACAACATGAATGTTCTTGAAACACTACATATTTAAAAAAATTTTATTTTTTATGTGTATGACTATGTTGCCTGCATGTATATGAGTGCACCCATGTTGTGCAATGCTGCAGCAATCAGAAGAGGGCTTCGGATTCCCCTGGAACTGGCATTAAGGACTGTTCATAGCTGCCATGTGGGTGCTTGGAATTGAACCCGGGTCCTCTGCAAGAACAGTCAGTGCTTTTAACCACTGAACCATCTCTCCAGGCCCGAAACATTGCATATTTTAAGATTCATTTTATTTTATTTTTTATTTTTTGAGACAGGGTCTCCCTGAGCCCCAGCTGGCCTGGAACTCACTATATAGATCAGGCTGGCCTTGAACTCACAGAGATCTGCCTGCC